TAGAACATTGTGACATCGACAATTGCTTTTGTATTATGGGAAGACATTAAACATTGTGACATCAACAGTTGCTGTTGTACTATGGGAAGAAATTGAACATTGTGACATCAACAGTTGCTGTTGTACTATGGGAAGAAATTGAAAATTGTGACATCAAGTATTGCTGTTGTATTATGGGAAGGCATTGAACATTGTGACATCGACAATTGCTTTTGTATTATGGGAAGACATTAAACATTGTGACATCAACAGTTGCTGTTGTATTATGGGAAGAAATTGAACATTGTGACAGCACAGGTCTCAAACTACTGCGCATACACGAAAAGTACTCTGTTTGTAATAAACAAATGGTGAAGCCTGTCGGTGTTTACCGTCTGGTTGATTTGATTTAATTTGCTTTCTGGTGTTGTTTTGAGAAATTATATTAGAAATATTCTGTTGATTGTATGTATTAAAAAGCAATCCATCGGACTTAGATTAACATTTATTTTGCCTTCATTGTTAAGGGGATTCCCTTCGCATTTAAGGTATTATATGTGGCCCCTAGGGGATTTTTCACCCCTCCCCCACTCTTGATTATAAATAAAGTTCTTCATCCGGCAGATTGAAAATGATATTGCAAAATACATTGAAAATCGTAGGAAGGTTAACTGCAGATAATGCTGCGAGGATATTCTTAACAGGGGGCAAATTCGGCCAATGTAAAATTTTAAACCTCGTCTTACGATTTTGGAGTGCCTGTTCTAATTATTGAAAGTGAGGCAATGGAACCAAACAATGCGATACAATTTGTAATCTTGTAAAAATTGCTATTTTTAAATACAGGTCATAGCATGTAGTACATTGCAATGTGACTTGTTTATTATTATGATCTTTAATAATAATAATTAATATAAAACAAACGATATAATACGTCCTTAACGTTGGCCTATTTATGAGCTGAATTGATTTTTTTAGTATTTGGAGATTAAAAACACAAAAGCTGACAGGTTTCAAATGGAGGCCCCACATATTGTTCGCGTGCTCATTATGACATCAACAGTTGCTGTTGTACGTTGAGTGTAATTATGTACAGACACAGATTTTCTTAGTTGATCATATAAAAATGGCAGTAAACTGTTAATTTTGTTTTATGTTAAAAAAGTGTTAAAAATGGAAATAAACCCATTTCAGAATAGTGCTGTCTTGTTTCACATTTCCTCAGATTCAATTTTTAGGCATGTTAACAGTTTCATTATTTAATTAATAAGATAAGTAAAAGTGTTTGTTTGACATTTCCTGCATCTTTACAACATTGTTAGTTGATTATGTAAAAATGATGGTAAACTTGTTATCGTGTATTGTGTAATAAAGTTTCAAAAATGGAAATAAACTCATATCATTGCAGTTTTTCAGATTCAATCATTCACTATGTTCAGAATGTCAGAATGGAGGAAATTGGGCATTTGACACTGTTCTATTGATATTTTTCACATCTCATCAATTTTCTTAGTTGATCACATAAAAATGGCAGTAAACTNCTTTGCTAGTCACATTTTCTGAATATCCATAATACTAATATTTTATTATTAAAAATTGATGGTCATTATGCTGTTAAACGTTATGTAATATTGCATCAAAATTTGGAAAAAAAATATTTTGGGCACTGCTCCCATGATGACCATTTAAGAAAAATCATGTCACTTACTGTTCTCAAACTTACAGGAAAGAAACATGGGACTAAAATTCAGCTTCAGTAGGCAATGCAGTCTGTTTGGTAATTCTTTCTGCTAGTTTTCATTTCCACTTGGCGGCAGCAGAAGCATTTTTTATCTTTTACATAGTGACATTTTCAAGGTGTGACTTTGAACTTCATTTGGCTTGAATACCTTTGCAAGTCACATTTTCTGAATATCCACGATACTTTTATTTCATTATTAAAAATTGATGGTTGTTATGCTGTTTAACATTATGTAATATGTAATCAAAATTGAAGAAAACATGACTTTGGGCACTGCCTCCATAGAGACCATTAAAAACTCTTACTCTTCTTAAACTTACATGAAAGAAACGTAGGAGTAAAATACAGCTAGAGTTGGAAAACCAGTTAAATTGGCTTCTTTTTCATATTTCATATATTGGCATTTTCATTGTTGGACTTAGAACTCGCACGTGCATGAAGCCCAGTAGTAATCATATTTTTTAAATGTCCATGTTATGAATAGTAGATGATTGGTGGTAATTATACAGTTAATCATTATGTAATATTGCATCAAAATTGACAAAAAACCTACTTTGTGCACTGTCACCACAAACGCAATGAAAAGAAAACTGTGTTATTATTTTTTTTTAACTTGCATGAATGATTCTTAGGATTGACATACAGCTCAAATTAGAAAACCATCTCTGTTGTATTATCATTTTATTGAATTTATGCAATTTTTTTGTGAAATTTTCATTTTTCTCATTCTGGCATCTTCAAAGTGTGAACTTGAACTCTCATGGGCCTGAAGCCTTATACTTTTACTTTCATCAGTATTACCTGTTGTGCATAATTAAAATTTGATGTTGACTTTGCAGTTAAGCGTAATGTATTAATGCATCAGAACTGACAGTATCCTATTTTGTTCAATATTATATTCTGCTTTTTATCTGTACATTTGACAGCTTTGTTGCCTTGTTTTTTTTTTTTTACTTTCCATACGAATTCACTTAATCCAGCTGGTGGTACAATAACCGAAGGCGGTATTGCCTCTCTGTTCCTCTAGTAGGATACTTAAAGTGCTTTGCCCTTTTGTAAGTGCTCTATTTGGTGGAAATAAGTTATTTCGCAAGGCTAGGAAATATGCTAGCACAGCCTCTGTTAGAAGTTGACTTATGAGAATATATTAAAGAAAAATGAAAGCTNTATTATATTCTGCTTTTTATCTGTACATTTGACAGCTTTGTTGCCTTGTTTTTTTTTTTTTACTTTCCATACGAATTCACTTAATCCAGCTGGTGGTACAATAACCGAAGGCGGTATTGCCTCTCTGTTCCTCTAGTAGGATACTTAAAGTGCTTTGCCCTTTTGTAAGTGCTCTATTTGGTGGAAATAAGTTATTTCGCAAGGCTAGGAAATATGCTAGCACAGCCTCTGTTAGAAGTTGACTTATGAGAATATATTAAAGAAAAATGAAAGCTCATTGATATATTCTTATCAAGTAAAACGTTTATTCACGGGGCAAGTCTGGTGGGATAAAGGGAACACAATATCCTACAGGTCCTGCACTCTGCTGGCTTAAAGTTTAAAATGGGTGATTATTGGAAGATGGACAGGATAACATATTTTCATTATTAATTTATTCATGTAATTTCAGAAGTAAAACAAACAGTCATGCCCCCCCACACACACACACACAAACACGTACACCATTGCCACATTCTAACAGAAACCTTAGCTGTGTAAAGTCTAAAGATCTATAAGTTCCCTTTCTTTTCATTTTTATGAAAATTGGCTAAATGTTATAATTTTAATGTAGTCTTTTATACATTTTCAGGCTGCAATGTTTAACAAGTCCATGATGAAGAAGACATTCCCTGTGATTGGCCAGAGCTAGGTAGCCATGAAGGATTCTGTACTTAGAAAAGTCTTTGAATTCCAAGAAAAAGAGGAGGTAGGCTGAAAGGGAGCTGTGATCAATAGCAGAGGTGAGGAAACCATGTGATTAACAGAAAATATGGAAGCTATTGGCAAATACAAAATTGCATAATATCACTGTAAGACTGATAACTCCTCACTGTCAGCTAAACATTTTTAAACTTTACTGTATAGAAAAGATACCTTTCAGAAACATTGTGAAATAGTTATTCCATTTATTGATTGAGGCAGTTGATAATGATTTATTTTGTAAAATGTATATTAAATAAATTATTTGATAATTTTCCCAAATTCATGACTTATTTAAATGAAAACAATGATTAATTCAAGAATTGGTATAAAATTTGTAGGTATCATTATGTGGATATAAAGAAGGGCTGTGTGATGATCCTCTTTAGCACAGAGTTCAAAGACCTAGATAATGTCAACACTGGAAAGGTGTTTATGCAGGTGAGTCATGAGTTTGTAAAAACTATAAGCAAAACTGCCAGTGTTAATAAATGGTTGTGTTCAGTTGATGACTGGCCAGAAAATTAAACCAAACCAAACTAAAAGATTTGGAACAATGGAAAACTAAAATTCACTTCTATTGTAGACAGACCATACCTGTTGAGGTGAAAATATCTGATTTTTTCAAAGAATTTACAATTCTTGTGTCACCTCTTTTGCCTATAGATGAATCTGCTTCATATAGCATAGAGGATATTTGTTTGATGTGTGTATTTGTGTGTGTATATTCTGATATGTTGGAAACAAGAGGAGGCATGTCATTCACTTAAGCTGTTTGCACTCAGCAAGAGTCCCTGCAAATCTACAGTCAATGTCAGATATGTTTTTTAGTTGATTTTTCATTTCAGAATTTTGGCACTTTTCTTGTGGAAGTAGTGAGCAAGGACCAGAAATTACACCATCGTTGATCATCAGCACCTGTTGTCATGGAGATCAAGGTAACAGACAAACTGCAGACCATATGGTACCACAGCTGACAGCTGAGGTAAAACTGCTCCCTGTGGTTTTATTTATTTATTTACTTATTTATTTATTTATTTTTAACAAAACAATTAAAGGCCTATATCAGCAGTAGTTCCATCATCTGCATAGTGGCCGATATAAAAAGTGTCATGTTTTGCTTACTAAAATGATTCCTGCAGTTGGGTATTTAATATTTTCTTTTACAGTGTAATAATATCTTTATTTCAAGACATATTGATCAATTAAAGCAAAGGATATCTTCTGAAAGATTATTGTGATTTTTTTCCAGATTCATCAACAAAAAGGAAGCCTGGGAGCCCACATTCTTATCAGTATGACAGCAAGGACAAATCTGGTTCAGTTCATCAAATACAAATCTTGACCAGTAGATTAACTTAGTCCCATTTCCATACCAAGATCGATCTGGCAGGATCGACCCATCTCCGTATTCTCTGGTTTCTCATTAAATTACATTCAGATTAAGCAGCTTAGATGTCTGGCACACCTACTTCTAGATGATAGTTAATTACCCTCTAACAGCTACAGTAGGCGTGCCAGACATCAGAGCCACTTAAGCTGAATGTACTTTAACGAGAAACCCTTTGGAGATGGGTCAATCCTGCTAGATCGATCTAGGTATGGGAATTGGGTCTGAGAAATGTTTTTCTTCTCAAGTGTCTTAAAACTCAGCAGTTATTTGGATCAGAGAAATAATTAGAGTGTAGCACGTCAAGTTCCATAGCTTTCTGGTGTTAGATCAGTTTTATATCAGGCAACACTGATATTTAGTATTTTAATATTTAGTATTTTAGTATTTTAATATTGAAATATATTTTCATTCTTTTTTCAACTTTTATGATAGTCCCATTGGATGATTCATGTTTTCACAAGATACTGATGTAAAACTTACTTTTGTTTTTCAGCCTTTTCTTTCAAAATTAAATATCAAAATATGTGGGGCTATATTGTTTGTTTAAACTTTGACCCACTAACTGAGACAACCAAGTGATAAAATTTCCATTCTGTTTGCTTATGAGCAATATTATAATGATTTGATGAAATTGTTTTTGTGAGGCTTAAGTTGTGAACACCTCATTGAATTGGTTTGATTTGATTAAACTTTGTATGAATGTCTAATTTTCAATCAATTACATTGTTTTAAATCTGTGTTGATGTTAATAATTAAGAACATAAATTTCCTTTATTTTTTGTGGAGCTGAAGATGTAATGTTGTTTGAAATATGGATTATTGGTTTAACTAGAATGTGTACATTGTATGGCAGTATAACATTCTGTAAATCATATTTTTTAAGCTGGTGTGGATGTTTAAAAT